TGTATGTTATGAGGTAAGGGACAGTGCTCACATTTCTGCATTTTGCTATTCAATTGTTCAAGTACTACTTCTGAAAAGATTATTTTCCCATCAAGTTGCCCTGGCATCCATCAAAAAAAAAAAAAAAAAAAAAAAAACCCAATCATACATATAAGAATTTAGATTCTCTTCCATTCCACTGATCGATCGGACTCTTTTTACTGCAATATCACATTACCTTGATTACCGTAGCATTACAGTAAGTCTTAAAATAGAGAGTTTAAGTCCTCCAAACTTGTTCTTTTTCAAAGAAAAAGATCTAAGAACTGTTCTTAGATCAGTCTAGGTCTTTTGCATGTCCATATAAGTTTTAGAATCGGTTGATCAATTTCTACAACAAAGCTTGCTGGGATTTTGACTAGGATTGCAACAAATCTATTGAACAAATTTGGGAAGAACTGGGGTCCTAACAATTTTGAACCCTCCCATTCATGAACACATTCCTCCCTCCATTACCTTAGATCTTTATTTCAGCAATATTTTGTCACTTTTCAGTGAACAAGTTTTGCATCTTTTATCAAATTTACCCAATTTCAAATATTTTTGATGGTCTTATAAATGGTATTTTTCTCTAGTTCAGTCCACTAATAGTATATAGAAATAACAATTGACCTTCGTGTATTAGTTTAGATCCTGTGACCTAGCTAAACTCACTTGTTAGATCTAGTAGCCCATTTGTAGATGTCTTAGAATTTTCTATGATCATACAGAAGGGAAATATGGCCAATCTGTGATGGCTTGTGCAGAACTGTTTAATAACACCTCTTAAAAGTGGTTTTTAAGAATTATTTGAAAGATTCATTCACCATAGCGTGACATCAGTGAATGGAGTTATTTACCCAATAAGGCTGTCTGCAAATAAAGACAGTTTTACTTCTTCCTTTGTAATCTTTATGCATTTTATTTTTTTAAATTGCCTAATGCACTGAATGGGACCTCCAACACACTGTTGAACAGAAGTGACAAGCACAGACATCCATGCCACTTCTGATCTTAGGGGAATATCATTCATTCTTTCACCATTAAGATGTTCCCTATATGTTTCTCACAAATGTCCTGCATCAGACTGAATAAGCTTCATTCTATTACTAATTTGTTGAGAGTTTTTATTACAACTGGCTATTTAATTTTGTCAAATACTTTTTCCGTATTTATTAGTATGGTCATACCAATCTCTTCTTTTATTCTGTTAATATGAAGAATTGCACTGATGGATTTTTAGATGTTTAATCAATCTTGCAGTCCTGGTTATAAACCTCATTTGGTGATAATGTACTACCCATTTGCTATATGGTTGGATTTGATTTGCTAAAATTTAAGAATTTTTATATCTATGTTCATGAGGGGCACGGATCTATAGTTTTATTTTCTTGAAATGTTTTCATCAGGTTTTGGTATAAGGGTCATGGAATGAGTTGAGATGTGTTTCTTTCTCAAATTTTCTGAAATAGGTTGTATAGAGTTGGCACTATTTCTTTCTTAATTATATGACAGAATTCACCAGTAAATCCATCTTGAGACCTTGAATCTGCATTGTGGAAGGTTTTTAATGAGAAATTTAAATACCTTAACAAACATAAAGCTACTCAAGTTACTTGAGTAAGTACAGGTAGTTTGTATCTTTCAAGAAATTTATCTCAGGGGCACCTGGGTGGCTCAGTTGGTTAAGCGACTGCCTTCAGCTCAGGTCATGATCCTGGAGTCCTGGGATCGAGTGCCACATCAGGCTCCCAGCTCCATGGGGAGTCTCCTTCTCCCTCTGCCTCCTCTCATGCTCTCTCTGTCTCTCTCGAATAAATAAAAAAAATTTTTTTTAAAGAAATTTATTTCATCTAAATTGTGGAATTTGACATAAAATTATTCATAATACTCTTTTTTTATTTTAATGCCTGTAGGATCTATAATGATGTTCTTTCTTTCCTATATTGGTAATTTTGTCTTTTCTCTTTTCTTGATCATCCTGGCTTGAGGCTCATTAATTTTATTGTCCCCCCCCCACAAGAACCAGCTTTTTGTTTCATTGATTTTTCTCTATTGTTTCTCTTTTCTACTTTACTTTGCTTCCTTTTAGTTCCACTTGCTCTTCCTTTTAGTTTCAGATGGAAACGTAGGTCTTTGAGATCTTTTCTAATTTAACTAATGCTGTGAAATACTGCTTAAGAACTTTTTTTTTTAATTTTTTTTTAAATTTTATTTATTTATTTGACAGAGATCATAAGTAGGCAGAGAGGCAGGCAGAGAGAGAGGAAGGGAAGCAGGCTCCCTGCTGAGCAGAGAGCCCGACGTGGGACTCGATCCCAGGACCCTGGGATCATGACCTGAGCCGAAGGCAGCGGTTCAACCCACTGAGCCACCCAGGCGCCCTGCTTAAGAACTTCTTTAGCTGTATCCCATCTACCTCCTTGAGCTTTTATGCAGATTTAATGAAATATGTATAGTCAGTCAGAAAAGAAATATTTAACTGCCTACTCCATGTCAGGCATTAAGATTGGTATTAGAAATACACTGCATTAAAATAAATCTAATCCCTTCTCTCATCAAGATTAGAAGGTAATACTGAAAATATTGGTCCAAAATAAATGTTATCTTCTTGATACTTAGAAGGTACATTAAGCCAGAATGCAGAACCATGATTTATTCTAATGAAAAATGTATTTTCTGTTTTTGTCTCTCTACTCATGAACTAGCAAAAATTAAGTCACTAGATCTTTTTTTTTTTAAGTTCAGAGATTTGTAATTCCGATTGCACCATATGAATTTATTGTGGAGTAAAATCAAATATTCGATAAATAAGTATTCCTGTAATTCTAAACTTGAAAACCACCTTTAGATTTATAAAGAATCCTTTAAAAAACAAGCATTCCATATATTTCTAATATTTTCCTAAGATTTTTCTTAAAAATTAATGAAACACTCTACTCATACTATCTATCCTATCCTGTTTCAAATTACCCAAAACTTAAAAAAAAAAAAAAAAACCCAGAACTTTTTACAAAATACTCTGCCCTTGCCCCTAATCAAATATAAATGCATGGCAAACCACTGGTTTCAAGGCCTTTTAAATGGTGACCTAGCCTACCAAATGTTCATGTTTTCAAAAACACCACCAGTGTGTTAGTTAAACATCTCAGTATAATTAATTCAGGCAACTGTAGATATAGATATTTAACATATATTTAAATCTTTGTTCATCCAGGATCTTCCTACCATATGCTTCTTCCAGTCCTATTCTCTTGGTCTTCATTTAGGCCACAGGTTCTCAATCTTGACTGTACACTGGAATCACCTGGGACCCTGATAGTACTGATACTAGCTAGGGTCCCACAACCAGTGATGCTTGAAGTTTTTAAAAGTGGGGATTTTCAAAAGCCCCCCATGTGATTCAATGGTGCAGACCACAGGTAAGAAGGACCAGTCTAGGCTCCCTCCAGGAAGTCATGCTTCTAATAACCATTGGCCATTCCCTACCACCATACTTCAGAACCTGGTTCCTCCAGAGCTTTCCCAATCAAACTCCTAATCAAACACTAATTCAGTAATTCCATTTGCATTCCTAGGCTCACCTCTATTTCTATTTAGAAATTCACAGGATAAAATGTAAGTCTTTATTTTAGCCATTCCTCTCCAATCCACTTCTAAATTTCATAAAGTTCAACTGAAGAGAAATTAACTCAATATAATTTGATGATATCGTTAAATAGTCATTATGTTTTCTTCTACAAAAAGACGGTTCTACAAGCCACCTGTAATTTTACAGAATATATGATAATATTACCAGTTCCTCAAAGTATAAAATATTGAAATGAGTCTTTGTTACTATCCATCTGATTCCACCACTTGTTAATTTCAAACAGGTTTTCACTACTGAATCACATTCTGGACTCAAAACTGACATCCTCTGAACTTAAACCATTAAACTCCTGAGAATCTTCCAACAGCTCTACTCCACTTTGCCAAACCAGACCACTTGATTATAATTATCATTTCATCACGTAAAAGTGGGAAGGAGAACACCTGGATCACAAAGACAGTACCGAGAATAAGCAGCAACGGCATTTTAGCACTGAGCAGAGTGCTAATAGAAATTTTAATTTACTTGCAGCAGAAATGTTGTCTCGTGGGAACTATGTGAAAAGTAGAGGCAAGCAGGAAGTTGCTGCTAACTACTTGTCAATACACAGAAACACCAGCAGGAGAGATGGGACAACTGGGGGTGGCCCACAAACTACTGAAGAGTTCTCAAAGCTCCCAGACCAATAGCAGCAGAAAGGTGCACGCAAGACTCGCACCTCTCAGGCTGTGAAAGAACCACCGAAGTTGCTTACAAACACAGGTAAACCTCATCTCCTTGGAAAACTGCTAAGCAATAAAACTTCGCCAACGTGCAGACCCAGGAACTCTGATCCCTGCCAGTGTGGGTTATGTACCCATGGGATGTAATGGATCTGCATGCTGAAACACGTGTGCACGTCTGAGCAGCTGAACCAACACGTATCCATAAACATTATGAATAATACTTGCGAGAATGTATGGCTTTCTCCTAAGAAGCGCTTTAAGGACTTTACCCAGATCAAATCACTTTCATATCACATCTTCCTCACCTTTCTTTGTACTACCCGTGTGCGTGCGCAGAATCAGGGCGCCTCATCCAAAGTCTGGGCAGTGGGGGATGGAGGGTGTTGTCACTCCCTCCGCCCTGACTTCCCGTTAACCCAAGCTGCCATCCCAAAAGGGGACCATGTCCGGGCTGGCTTCCTGAAGACACGCATGAGCCCTCACACACCCACCGCGATCACGTCACTAGTGCCGCGGCCACCTGGGTGAGGACCAAAATCTGGAGGGAATTCCCTTCGCCGCGGAGCTCGGCAACAGCATGGGAAAGCGGGACCCGGGAGAGATTTGAAAAGTGGAGGGGAAAACGAGTCAAGCGGACACAACCGGGAGGGATCACAGCTACTCACCCAGCCCTCGAATGTGTCCGAGGCGCCCGCCGTGCGCAGCAGCTCCTGGAATTGCAGGGTGCAGTTGGCCACGAAGTGGTCATAGCCCAGGGGCGTCTCGTGGAAGACGGCCAGTTCGAGGTGGCCACCGTCGGTAACGTTGGTGCAGAACTCCTCATTGTACGTGGGTTTGTTGGTCTTCTGTTTGGTGCTGGTCTGGCCCACGCGCACCTGGTCCACGCTCACCGTCAGGTAGGGGTCCAACAGCTGGTAGCCCTTCTTGAAGAGCGAGTGGCGCAGGGACCAGCGGGTGGGCTGCAGCCCCACAGCCTCGCCAATACGAACCCTCAAGTAACCATTGAACTTCATGGTGCCGGACGTCATGCCGGCGCCGCTGCCCGGGCCCCGGGGGGCCGCGCTGGCTCGCAGCGGGAGAGCCTGGAGCCCCAGCTCAAGCCAGCCCTCGCGGCAGCCTCAGGAGTGGAGGCAGCTCCTGGGAAAAGCAGCGCCCAAGCCCCCCTCGACTGGTCATTCTGCCTCCTCCGGGGGACCTTCCCCTCCCCTCCTTCCCTCGCCCCCTCCCCCGCGAGGTGGAAAGGAGGGGAGCCCGGAGCCGAGCCCTCCGCGAGCCGGGGTAGCCCGATCGTCCCTCTCCAGCGCGCGGCGCTTCCCGGGGGTTCTCAAAGGATTGGCCCCTTCTCCAGAGCCGGGAAGCTCCTCTCCCCGGAGAGCTGGAGCGACCCGTCCGGTTAGCTCCAGCCCCAAGCGTCTCTTGCCCCCGCCTCCTCCTGCTTCTCCTCCTGCCCCCGCCTCCGCGGGCTCACGCTCTCCCCCACTCGGCGAGCTTCAAACCAGGAAGCAGCTGCCGCCGCATCCCCGGTAGGATCCTCGCGCCGCCAGGCTCCAAGTTCACAGAAGCCCTGCGCGGAATTCCGCGCCGGGTCCCGCGCCTTTCGAATCCCGGGGGCGTGGCGCGCAGCCCGCGGGGACTATGGGTCGGTGGCCGGGCGCGCGCAGCCGGGAGCCCCACGCGGGCTCGCTGGCCCCGCTCTGCGCGCGCTCCCTGTCGCGCGTGGTCTGGCTGTGCTTGGTGGGCTAGAGGCTCCCCCAGGTGCAGGCCTTAAAGGCAAGGGCTCGTGGCCAAGCGCGAGACAACACCTGGCGCCTGGGAGACGGGTCCAGAGAGTGCTGGGGGGCGGAAGGAGGAGGAGGGGGAGCGGAAGGAGGAGGAGGGGGAGCAGGAGCCGGGAACCCGCGCTCCTGGAGTCGCCGGCACCCTCCTTACCACCGGAGGAGTTGGGCTGGCGAGCCTGCCTGGCGGTGTGGGAGAGGCAGCGGCCTGAGCGGGCGCTTGCCGGGGAGGTTCCTTTTCCTAGTCTTTACAGGAATGGCTCATCCCCGCTTCAGCTCGGGCCCATCCTGTTTGTGCGCCTTTCCTGCAGAGAGTAATTACACGGTTGCTTTTTTGTTGTTGTTGTTTTTAATAGGGTGGTAATAATGATGGAAATCCTGCCCTCCTCCTTCCTCGGAGAGGTGTGTCTTGTTGCACAAAGAGCAGGAAAGTTCGGTTCTGAAGAGAGACATGGCTGAGATGTACTAAGTCTCTCTGAGGAGTGGGTGGTTCCTGGTCTGCCAAGCCTGGCATAGCAAGGGCAGAAGATGTTCAACACAAACACTGTCCCTGACACACGTGTGCAGAAGAAATCGCCTCTTCGAGGAACATTCCAACTTGTTGCTGCGTTTGCAAGTCAGAGTTGGCAGCCTTTTGTTCCTTTGCACCGTGGGGCCAGGAGTTTGGGGGCCCTTGGGTGAACCGTCCATGTACTGTGCTTTACCGCAAAGCTAAGGGCCAGCCACAACCAATTTGTCTCCCATAAAGCCTAGGCTATTTTTTTTTAATTTTTTATTTATTTGTTGGAAAGAGAAAGAGAGATCACAAGTAGGCAGAGAGGCAAACAGAGAGAGAGAGGGAAGCAGGCTGCCCGCTGAGCAGAGAGCCCGATGCGGGGCTCGATTCCAGGACCCTGAGACGATGACCTGAGCGGAAGGCAGAGGCTTTTTTTTTTTTTTTTAGATTTTTTATTTATTTATTTGACAGATAGAGATCACAAGTAGGCAGAGAGGCAGGCAGAGAGAGAGGAGGAAGCAGGCTCCCCGCTGAGCAGAGAGCCCGATGCGGGGCTCCATCCCAGAACCCTGAGATCATGACCTGAGCTGAAGGCAGAGGCTTAACCCACTGAGCCACCCAGGTGCCCCAGGAAGGCAGAGGCTTAACCTACTGAGCCACCCAGGCGCCCCAACCTAGGCCATTTTTAAGATACTTAAGTACATTCTGTCTGGCTATTCTTGTTCCCCTGAGAGCAGGTCAGGCCCTCGCGCCCTCCACCCAGGGCTCTGTTCGGGCCCTCCTCAATAATTTCACTCCTGTGAATGGAGGCACACTAGAGAATGAAAAGGAGCAATGGGACGGTCAGGGAGGGCCTGTCTTAAAAACATCAAAACTTCTTTTAAGAGAACTAGGCAGGGATGCAGCGTGTCGTCCTAAGGACACTTTAGCTCTAGGCAAGGCTAATAAAGCAAGCTCTCAAACAGCCAGGGAGCGTCCATGTGGCCCTGGTGCTCCAGGGAAAGAGGTCAGGGGGACCATTTGGGTCAACTCCGTCACCCTCTCCAAAGAGCAGGCCTCTGGGTGTTACACGTAAACAATGACTCTTGGAACACTACATCCAAAACTAATGATGTACTATATGGTGACTAACATCACATGCACACACAAAAAAGAACCACTGAAAGATGGACTGCTGTTGAACTTTGGCATTAAAAAAATATAGTCCCCAAATGGTGAGTAGCCACACATCCTGGGGCTGGGATGTGAGGGACACTAGACACTCCATTTCTGCCCTATCATCAGTAGGTACAGGTGGGCAGTGGCGACAGAGCCAGGAGAAAGACAGCAAAGAAAAACAGATATAGCTCACATATGTGGGGTGTGCAGGGAAGGAAAACTCAGGTGCAATGGGACAGTGGAACCTGGAGGGGGGTGGTCAGGGAAGGGTCCCCTGAAGGACACAGAAAAAGGATCAGTGTATTCAGGGTTCCCAAGGGAAGGGACAGCTTCACCTGTTTCAGAAACAAGAGGGACTCCATGTGTCTGGAGCCCAAAAAAAGGTGAGGAGTAAGTGGCTGAAATTCACCTGAAAAGGTGACTCGACTGGTAGGTCATGGGAAAGTCTTTGGACATGGTCTGTGGGCAGTTGGAAGCCTCTGAAAGTTAAGCAGGTACAGGGACAGATGAGATTTGTCTTTTAAAATCTCTTTCTGGGGGGTGCACCTGGCTGGCTCAGGGGAAAGAGTATGCAAATCTTGATCTCAGGGTCGGGAGTTCAAGCCCCACTTTGGGTGTAGAGATTACTTAAATAAATAAGTAAACCAACAAACTTCAAAAAAAAAAAAAATCTCTTTTCAGGCCATGTGAAGAATGGATTGAAAAGACAAAGCATGGGTGTGGGGAGACCCATCAGGAGGCAGATGCCAAAGTCCAAGGAGAGAAAACAGTGACTGGGACTGAGGTGGTGGTGACGGAGATGCAGATGGATGTGAGAAGGGTTTTGGAGGTAGAATACTCAGGCCCTGGTGTTGGACGTGGTGTAGGAGGAAGAGGAAAGTATCAAGGGTAATTTGCAGGCATCCAGCTAAAGCAGCTGTGTGGACTGGGGAGCCATTTGTGGTTAGGAACCACTAGAGAAGGAACAGATTTGTGGAGGGAGATGAACAGTTTAATTTGAAACATCTGAATTTTGAAATATCTTCATACATTTGAGGTGAAATCTGAACCGGGCACTCAGCTATGTGCCTGTGAAGCTCAGAGGTGTGGTCTGAGCTAAAGACACAAAGTGAGGGGCCATTGGTATATAGGTAGCAACCAAAGCCAGAATAAGGGATGACATCAAGATTGTGGAGAAAAGTTGGGAACAGACTGTAGCATGAGGAAAGAAGGGGCCTTAGGATAGAGTCCTCCAGAAACCCCAGCATGGATCAATGGAAGCGAGGTGGGCAAGGGGGTTCTGAACAGCAGCAGGGGTGTAAGAGAAAAACCAGGAGGACACAGTGTCCAGGTATTATGAAAACCAACCAAAGGGTTTTCAAACAAGAAGGAATTGGTTAGTTAGGCCAAATGACACTAAGAGATCGAGTAAAGAAGGACTAAAGGCAGTCATGAAGAGATGGCGATGGACATCCTTAGTAATCTTGGAGCCATTTTTGTAGAGGGATGGGGGCTAAAGCCCATTTCGAGTAGCTTGAGGTGAAAAATAAGGAAGTGGAGAGAGTTAAGTGTAGACACTTGTTCAAGAGGTTGGGCTGGAATGAGGAAGAGAGAGCTGAGGAGGAAGATGGGATCACGGGGTGAGGGCTTTTTATTAAGGGGGAGCAACAGAAGAGAGGAGAGAAATCATACAGTTCTGAGACTGCAGGCGGGAATGCCATCTGAGACATGGGGGGAAAATGGCACTTAGTTTAGGACAAACTTCTATGTTTGTGGTTTTCAGCCTGCTGTCCAGAATTGCCTCTCTACAGTCAGGAGACATGGTGACCAGCAGCCCCAACTACTCAGATTTCTAGCTTCACGGCCCCAATGGAAAGAGGATTTTCTTGACCCACCTTCTTAAATCAACCTGGGGAAGACCCTGAATGTCCCCAGCCTATGTCATGTGCCCTTGGGTGGCTCCTGGGGGGGAACACCAGACAAATAGTATACAGCACACAGTACAAAGCGCCTGTGGGAAGGGACTGTCTGCCAATACAAACTTCACCTGTGTCACAGCTTCTGTCTAGAGCTGGTCCTGACTTTCAAGGAAGGCAGGGGACAAAAATTCCCCTCTCTATATACATCCCACCCCGCTGAATAGCAGCATGTAATGTAATGTAGTAATTTGCATATTTGTACTGACTGCTTTAAATTCAGTGTTGTAGGTCCTTTTATCACTAGAGGTTTGTTCATTTTTTTTCTTCTTTATTGCTATTACTATTTCTTTTGTCAGTCACACTATAACTATGGACTTCTCATATACAATTCCTAGCACATTATCTAAATGCTTTTTTGACTGATTGCTTGATTGACTGAATTACTATCATTCATCTAATTTCTTTTTTTTAAAGATTTTTAAAATTTATTTACTTGAGAGAGAGAGTGAGAGAGAGCATGAGAGGGGAGAAGTTTAGAGGGAGAAGCAGATTCCCCCAGAGCTGGGAGCCCCATGCCAGACTCGATTCTGGGACTCCAGAATTCTGGGACTCCAGCTGAGCCACCCAAGGCACCCTTAGTCATCTAATTTCTTAAGTAACACTTCCCACAACCTCCATTCCACTTTAAAATAGAATCAGAGAATAAAACAGCTAGGTCAAAAATTATCCCATGCCATTATGAAATGGCACAACCTTTGGACGGCAGTTTGATGGTATTTGTCAAAAGCTTCAAACAGGGGCGCCTGGGTGGCTCAGTCAGTTAAGCATCTGCCTTCAGCTCAGGTTAGGATCTCAGGGTCCTGGCATGGAGTCCAGTATCAGGTGCCCTGCTCGGTAGGAAGTCTGCTTCTCCCTCTCCCGCTCCCTCTGCTTGTGCTCTCTCTTTCCCTCACCCTCTCTCTGTCAAATAAATAAATAAAATCTTTTTTTTTTTAAACCTGGTTTTTCAAACCAGTTCTTTGCCAAAGGAGGTCTGGCAATAGCAGAATGACTAA